TGCCAATTAAAGTTGATGGCCGACTTGTTACTTTTGAAGTGAAAGAATGCTCATACATGGAAGATGGAAAGGACACAGAGAGCAGGACCTATGAAGTTTACTTTTGTAAAGAAGAGCCCAAAGTTGAAATTGAGTGTGAATGTGGTTTTGTTCAGTTCACTGGCATCCTGTGTAGACATGCACTGTCTGTGTTGAAGTTGCAGGAGATATTTGAGATCCCAAAAGATTATGTTCTTGATCGCTGGAGAAGGGATTATAAGAAATTATATTCTAACGCAAAGAAACCTAATGAAATGCCCCTTAGTGACATTGTTGAACGCTCTGATTATTTGTTCACACAATGTAGTCAGCTGCTCAATCTAGGGTTTGTATCTGAGAGTAGGTACCTTGTTGCTCTGAAGTTACTGAGAGAAGCGGAAAGATCTCTTCTGGATGATGGACTGCCTGCTAGAGACAGGCAGCCAATGCTTCTTTCCTTTGAGGCTGATGCACCAGAAAATGGTCAAGGCCTTTTTAGTCCTCAGTTTTCAGAGGGAGTAAAGAATTCTCAGTCAGCCCATGCAAAGCGCCGTGGTCGGCCACCGAAGAAAGTGACAGAATCTAATGATGACACCGTAACACAGCCAAATAAAGAACAGGTCAGTCTCAGTTCCCTTTTTTCTCAAGAGTATATTCATGAGCCTCAGACCCACACTTCAGTTAATATAATATGAATACACCTTTTGTTGTTCATGGATATTCTTGTTGAGCAGGATTTCCTACGGTCATCATTTGTCAGAGACAATACAAATATGATCCAAGGGCCGTCTTCTTCCTCCCATCTTGAAGGTTCTCACATGGGAGTGCAAGGAGGCATTGATTTAATGGTACACATTATTATTTTTGTTTGCCGCTGCTATTAATACTACATATATTTGATAAAGTCTCGCTGCAAACTTACACAGGAAGGAATACCAAATCTCTCATTTGGTAATCATTTTGGAATGGATATTAATCACCAGCATCAAGTGCCCAGCCACCAAAGGATGCAGCAGAACAATTTTATACAGGTTTCTGTCATACAATTGGCCATGTCTTGATAATTTCGTATAGTTGTCTTTGTTTGCAACTATTTTTTTTTTTACACCTTGTTTTTTAGGTGCAGGCAGAACCACATGGGTTTGGGAATCAGTGGGTTTACCACCCAATGTTGCAGGTATTTCTAGTCAATCTTGGTTCTTGACTTTGAAGTTTATCTATGGATATCTGTCTGAAAATGACTCATATGGCCATGTTGCAGGATAATCCAGTGCTAAGAACTCCTACACGAAGAGCAGGGTAGTGCATATTCATTGCTCCAATTATTTCAGTTAAACTTTAGGTAAGGTGTCAGCTTTTTCTTATCCATGTAGCTATGTGTCCCGTTTAATTTTTCCATCATCCTCCAAGTGCCAACCTTTAAGACTTTTTATTTTTCTTGGTTCAGAATTGTGCCCATGCATATTCTGTGAGAAATGCTATTCCTTATTTACTTTGATATATATAGGTATTTGAGTTAACTTGCATGGGTATGCCACTGGGTTCTTGAAGAATTGAGTCCCACACCTTAACTGTGTTATATTGTCAATGGGGTCCAAAATTTGCTTAATTGGTCTTGACATAACATCTTTGGTTCAATCTATATTGTTTTCTTTTAGAGTTTTCAATCTATCTATATTATTTTCTGACCAATGGTCATCGTGCGGAATAAATAGAAAAACCGAACATCTTTCAATGTGGACAGACTATTACATGTTTTTGGTATGTTTATATAGCATTGTTTAATATTATCCAGCAAAAGTATAGCTACACTTTAACTTTATACACTGTAGTTAATAATTTAAGTTGGGTTTGGACTTAACCCGACACTCCTTTACAAGATTAGGGACCTAAATACGAATTCTTGTTTGAAGGACTTGAACAAAACACATGAACTGTGATGCATTTTCATCACTCGTTCTAATATTTTTTTTATACACAAACTCAGTAACATCAGTATTTTTTTCCCACCAATTCTTTTAATCAAGATCAGAGCCCCTGTTGTTTCATTAGAAAAAACCACCACTTCAAGTTTATTTTGCATTGCTACGAAAGTACTCAGCACTTGAGTGTGCTATATGCCATGTCTGGGTCACGCTCACAGATGTGATGAGGGAAGAAGAGATCCTTGTAGTTTCTGCATTTTTTTCTGGCATGGAGCCATAGAGCTTATTTCAAACTGATCGCCATGGTTTATCACATGATGACTTCACTATTTTGTATTACCTACACTATTTGCTGCTGTTAATTGTTATACCATCAATTGCTAGTTATGGTAGTCATGCATCTCTAGACATAAATTTTTACCATGATAATTTCTTTACACCTGAGTTCAGCGATGATTTCTCAGCTTCACATATAGTTATGACCGAACATGCAGTCATACACTAAGACATGATTTTTGAGCCTAATTGTTGTTTAGTATTGTAGTGTTGTCTTTTTGCCCAAGGCTTTATTTATAACATGAACTTTGATCATACACTGTACCCTTGTGAAACTATGTGTCGGGTATCGATATTAAGGATACCTAAAGTAAGGAAGTTAGCGCCCATGCTGACTTTCCCGGATGGCTCGAGACGTATTAAAAGGTCTCGCCCGACCCCAAGGTCGCGGGCTCCGTCTCGCCCGACCTCGAGGCTGCGGGCTCCGTCTCGCCCGACCTCGAGGACGCGGGTTCCGTCTCGTCCGACGGGGACCCATACCGCCGCCAACCACTCCAGGTCCAAGCGTATGGGCCTGGGTCAAAACTCTGACGCCAGGGAAGAGGCTGGCACGTCTCGATGTAACCCGTGGCTATGACGGGCCATACCTGGGGATTCACATCAAGAACAGTGTTGGGCGTGCCGGTGCTGTTCTGCCTAATCCTCGTACAGACGCTGACAGGCGCGTCAATTCACCACGACGTCCTGCCGGGACGAAGTGGAACGCCATGACCGGCAGATGGCGTCTGCGCATGGTGCCATTGACGAGCAGGGCCGCGACATGGAGCCATCCCTATTGACATCTACAGAATCGGCGGGGCCCGCATGAAGGAGAAGGACCCGGCAACCCTGGAAGCCTTCTTCTCTCTCTCCTTCTCCTTTTCCTCCTCTGTAACCCGCGCTTTCCCTTCGCCTATAAAAGGAGAAGCAGGTCGCCCCATGAAGAGTTGAGCTAGACGGGAGATCTGAAAAACAAGAGCATGACACGAGCACACGGCTGAGCGGCAAGCGAGCTCTCAGCACCCGTTCACTCCTTCCACCAGAGACCTGGGATCCTCTTCCTCTCTCGCCTGTTTGTAACCCCTACTGCAACCAAAATGCCGGGAACACGAGCAATAGCGAACTGGACGTAGGGACGTTCCGCCCGAACAAGTATAAACCCTTGTTTCCTCCGAGCACACCATCCGAGCCAGACGCGTAAATACAAATTTACTCTTCGATGGTCCGAAAACACCGACACTATGGATCTGCATGGAATACCTTTGTTTCAATTAATAATAATTATATACTGTGCCAATGGTTCATTAGCTTGGTAAGGATGCATGCATTCCCAATATGTATCAGATTTTCATAGCCAGTTCCTGCTTTAAACTGATTCCAAAAGCAGAAACACAGTAGTTTGCTTTCTTAGATAATAATTTACAATTATATAAAACATATATCTGCAATGGTTCTTACTAGCTATGTAGCATCGATGTTTTAAATAGCTGGCTAAAGTTGCGCTATAGCAAATTTCTGAACTTGGCTTTTACGGCTGTGAAAATTGCAATTTAAAACCTTGGTTAGCATCAGTACCGGTATACCAGCTATCCGTCCTTAATAGGTTTCCGTGTGTGATTTCAGGCACCATGACGTCTCAGGCTCCTGTAATGACTTCCTGAGTCCTGAACTAACCTAAGGATACCGAGGCTGTACGTGGCACTGGCACTCCAGATGGCAAGAACTTGGCAGAGGGTCCAATGGATCAAAACATTTTTGTTACATGATACTGTTAGCTGCTGTCGCTAGGATGAATGTTCAAACTGTACATAACATTGGCTCTATGGCTCCGTTCGCTTCGTTGAAAAAACAAGTTGAAATATTGTTTCGGCTAATTTGTTGTTAGAGAAAAAATACTATTTCGACTGAAAAGATAAGCCGAAAAGTACGGATTATAAGATCAATAATAGTTTTTTTTGTCTTGATGTGCGCCAGATTTGATAATGTGGCAGAGGACGCGTATTGTGTAGCTTATTGGTTAGTTTCAGACAAAAGTCAGACTAGTAGGCTTATTTCATATTCATTTTGTTCGGTTTACTCCATACATATTCGGTTTGTTCGAGGGGGGCGCGGCTGTAGCCCAAGACGTCCTCGCCAGTCGCCAGCACCGTGTACTGTACCTCATAGTCCGCCCATACGCGTCGTCCGTTCTCCGTTGCCTCCCTATCCATCTGTAACCGCGACTCCCTCGCTCTGTCACCTCATCTCGACGCATACGTAGGAGCACACTTTTTTTTTCCTTGACCAATCCTGGTGCCATCGACGCGTACAAATACAACTTTTTTTTTCTCCCATTGTTTTGACCATGCCATGCCTAGTTGCCAAGTTTTGGCTTGGCTCACCAGCGTTACGGACCAAAATACACCGTGTATTGTTTTAGTTGCTACTTAGTATATACATCAGCCATTGCCACGCCGGATGTGTTGCGAGCGGCCAGGCCCATCACCATCAGTGAATCCGCGACAGCTGCTGGATCGCGTTCACGGGCGTGTGCCGTCTGGGCGCGGGGCGCGCGGCGCGGGAGACGCCCGAGGTGCTGAGGAGCGGCCGGGCCCCACTTCTCTCTCGGGTCGGGCCCTTGTGCAGATGCGCAGAGGTAGCGCCGTAGCGGCCCCTAATTCATTTGTCACCGAACTTTGCACCCGCCTCCCCCGTACCCGTCCGAAACCCTAGCCTACCTCGTCGGCGGCGGGCCCTCCGGCGATGGAGGTGGAGGAGCCGCTCCTAACGTCCAAGAACCCCCGCCGTGCAAGGCGCCGGGACCTCAACGCACTGGTCAGGCTCGCCCCGTCCCTCCTGTTCTTCTGTCGTTCATGATCCTTTTATCGCCTTTGTGATCCTGAGCGTAGAGTTTGATATGTGCTAACTTGTCGGTGTGGGGAAATTTCCATTTCCTTCCTTGATTGATTCAGATTTCATTTTGAACTCTAGACTAGAAGTGGGCGGGCAGACAGTGGTTGTCATTTAGGGTTTGGATTTGATTGATTCATTTAGTTTTGATGGATAGTTATTTCGTATTTGAACTCTATTTTCGTGACGTGGACTAGCATTTGTTTTTTTGGTAAGCGGTCTAGTGTCTAGTAATTCTGTATTTCTGTTCATCACTGTGGGCTTGAGGTTCTAATTTAGGATAGCCTTTGCTTTGGAGGCATTGATAATAGCACTGCTTAGTTGGTGGTCATTGGAGCATTTACCAGCAGTTGAAACCAAATGTTAGTGTCATGCCATCCTGAAATACCTACATTCAGGACGCTCGATTTGCTCACAGTCACTCATGCTGCTCCTATGTTTTAAAAAGTTAATTTTAAGTTGATTTCACTTTGTATTAGCTTGAAAAACTTAAAGAAATTTCCGGTAGTTTGCAATGTAAGTGGTTTCATGATGAAGTATTTTTTTTTAGGATCCCAGCATCGAGGAGTCCGATGGGGAGGATATTGGTGTTCCAGAAGTTGGCATGGTGTTCAATAATCACACAGAAGTCAACCGATTCTACCGCAAGTATGCCCGCCGTGTTGGCTTTGGTGTCTCAGTAAGGAGGTCCTCTTTCTCACAAGAAGGGACCTGCTTATATCTCGAGCTTATGTGCTGCAAAGGAGGGCGGCCACGTTATGAGCCAAAGTTTCGGAAACGGGCTTCATCGACCACTAACTGCCCAGCCAAGATCCGAGTGAAGTTGTGGGGAGATAAATTGTTGCATGTAGAGTTGGCGATCCTCGATCATAATCATCCAGTGAGCCCAGCAATGGCAAGGTTTTTGAACTCTTATAAGCAGCTCTCTGGCCCTGCGAAGAAGCAGTTGCGTATGGGTGGCCCTGGGGCTATGCCTGTTGAAGAGTCAAGCGAGATGCCCATGGATAAGCTGGGGGAGCTTGAGCAGCTTCTTTTTGGCGAGAGCAAGCACCACAGCTTTGTGGAGAGGGGTCGTTTGAAGCTCCAACCTGGAGATTCGGAGGCCCTTCGGCTTTTCTTCACTCGGATGCAGGCCAAAAATGCCAACTTTTTCAATGTCATTGACCTGGACGATGAAGGCTGTACCAGGAATGTTTTCTGGGCAGATGCACGGTCAAGAGCCATGTGTGAGTACTATAGTGATGTCATCACACTTGATACGTCATATGTGGCTAGTAAATATGATATGCCTCTTGCAACATTTATTGGGGTGAATCATCATGGACAATCTGTCTTGATGGGGTGTGCCCTGCTTTCTGATGAAACAGCAGAAACCTATTCATGGCTACTTAAGGCTTGGATAGCATGTATGTATGGCAATCTTCCGAAGGCTATTGTCACTGACTATTGTAGGGGCATCCAAAGTGCTGTAGCTGAGGTTATTCCAGGAGTCCGTCATAGAATGTGCTTGTTTCAGATAATGAGGAAGGCCGCAGAACGTTTAGGTGGGCTGTCAGAGTACAGAGCTATCAACAAGGCGATGCATAAGGCTGTGTATGATTCTTTAACCATCGATGAGTTTGAAGGGGAATGGAATACTTTAATTACATATAGTGGGCTTCAGGGCAATGACTGGCTAAGATCACTTTATGAATGCCGATCTTCATGGGTTCCTGTTTTCATTAAAGATACATTTTGGGCAGGAATGTCTGCTACACAAAGAAATGAAACAACCACTCCTTTTTTTTATGGATATGTTGATTTAAAAACCACCTTGAAGCATTTTCTTGGCAAGTATGAGATGGCTTTGCAGAGTAAATATGAGAAGGAGGCCCAAGCAGATTTTGAGACATTTCATAAGCAACGTCCACCGGTATCAAAATTCTATATGGAAGAGCAGCTCTCAAAGGTATACACGCATAATATGTTCAAGAAGTTCCAAGATGAGATTGAAGCCATAATGTACTGCCACGTATCTTTAATTGGTGTTGACGGGCCTGTCTCCACATTCAATGTCAAGGAGTGCATTTTCCTTGAAGATGGTAAAAGGACCATGAGTAAAATTTTTGCAGTGACATACAAAGCGGACGAAAAGAGTATTAGTTGTATATGTGGAGGTTTCCAATTCAGTGGCATACTATGTAGGCATAGTCTCTCAATGCTCAAGTTTCAACTGGTTCGTGAAATTCCACAACATTATATTCTTGATAGGTGGAAAAAGGATTTTAGACAGTTGCATGTGAAGAGACGCCCTCCAAGCGATCTTGTCCCCAACAATCGCATGGATCGATATGACTATATATCAATGAGATGTTTGCAACTTGTTGACTCCGCAGTCCTATCAGATAAGTATCGCCTTGCTTTGAGGTTGGTAAGGGAGACAGAAAATTTTCTGCTAAATAGCAACACACATGATGATACACAACCAAGGATCAAGTCTCGTGTTCCTAAAGTAAATAAACCAAATACAGTGACTGGTCAAACCGTGGTGGGTGCAGCTACTGGAAACAGAAATGATGGTCTCAAAGGACCAGAGGTACTGGTTCGACCTATAATAAATCTTATATACACATGTTTGCTTGTAAGCTTTGTGGAAATTAGAATCGATAGTCCATATGATTTGCTTAAATGGGTTGTTTTGCAATATGCAGGCTCCAGCAGTCATGCAAGTACCGCAAATCCAAAAGGTAAGATTGCACTAAGCATTAGTTAATTTTATATCCTTAGTTGACACATTTGGCTCTGAGGATATTGATTGGTTTGTAAGACTATATGCTTCCAATATCAGAGACCTCCTTAAAAAGAAGATATTGATTGGTTGCTATTTTTACTCCAGGGAGGGACAGAAAAAGGAATAGTTCCTACTGGCTACATTGGAGTACCAGCTAATATCCAGCAATTTGTAGGCAGTCAAGCAGCATTTCAGCCAAGCATTGTGTACATGGTACCGGTATGTCAGAACAGATGGTCATATATGCTGACTCGTATCTTTGACTAAATCCCACAGGCACTAGAAAACCAAATTTCCATGATACCAAAATAGTATGGCGCCCAGGGGTGCTGGCGCCCTCCTTATCTGGAGTCATTGCCTGGCATCACTGAGATTTGTTTTGACGACAGGCTGTGATGACAGGCTGTGATGGTGTTTCTTCCTCCACCTTCTTCCTCGCATTGCGTTCCTCAGCTTCTGTCCGTGTCTCACCATGAGCACAGCCCTCCCCCATGAGTGCTGTGTCCGTGACGTGCCCGGCCTCACATTCCTCCGCTCCCGTCCGCGCGCCCCATGAGCACACCCTCCCCCATGAGCGTGTGCGCCTCTCCACGAGTGTGCCCTCCCCCCTGAGCGCATGCGCCTCTCCATGAGAGCGCGCCTCCCTTGTGACTGTGAGCGTGTACCTCCTCCCCCATGAGCACTGTGTCCATGACTGAGTGCCGGCCCATGATCGAGGTCAAGCAGCGGTGCAAGAAGCCAGTAGATCTGTGCCTCCTCCCCCGTGATGCGGCAGCTGGAGCTAGGAGGAGACTGGGAGGCGCAAAGGGGGTCACAAGGGAGCAGGCCCATGGCTAGCATGCTTGTTGGCGGTGTGAGGAAGATGATCGGTGGTGCGGGCTGTGTGGCGCAGTGGCAGTGAGTAAGAGGAAGACGGCTCCATTATCTCTGTTTTCTTCTGTTTATTTTTACCAAGATGTCCGCTCCAGATAAGGAGGGTGCCAGCCTCCCTGGGTGCCAAATCCATACTCTTCCAGGATATTTGGATGCTTTCTTGCATATTAAATCAGGAATATTTGCAATAAACAGTAATTATTCATCGTTCTCTATAGTTGGTAAAAAAATTGAATCTTCTAACAAAAATAAATCATGTCACTCCATTCCAATTTCCAAATTGTAAATCATTTTGGCTGTTTCAGATACATAGTTTTTGCTATGTATCTAGACAGCGGATGCACAGCAATGTGCCTAGAAAATCCAAAACAACTTACAATTTGGAATGGAGGGAGTACTTATTAATCAGTAATTGTTCTTTATTTTCAAGTTTTTTCTTTATTATTTTTACTTTGAGGCAGATTCTATTCTGTAGGAATATGCTACTGACTGTTGCTGATTTAAAATTTCAGAGTGGTGTTGACCCACATGCTGTTGGAAATGTTCTGATGCCGGTGATGTACCAGCAGATGTTCCAGGTTTGAGTTTATGTTTGTTTGCAAGTTCCATTCATCTTGCATGGACTTTTTTTTGGCATAAATTGATGGCATTCAATGGCACGGTGGTATGGCTAGGTGCCTCCGAAGCCAAATGAGACCGTGCAAGATACTTCAGCCAACGGAAAAAGGAAGCGACCTCGTGGTCAGAAGCTTACAGAGACGTCTCAACAGGCAAATGGAACCCCAGCATCTGCATCTGGCAAGGGGGGGACTGCTAACATTTAGAACAGGTTCTCCTGATTTACTCCTAATACTTGGTATGCTTTGTTCGACTATAGTCACCTCACCTGAGTTGTGGCAACTGTATTTGTTCTTCCCAGGATTTCTGTACATACGTTGACTTCCTGCCGTGAGAAATTTTACATATGGACGCCGGCACTAACAATTACCTCAATCAGCCTGCTCGCTTGTTGTTTCAGCCAAGGCTTATCAGCCAGTCAATACTGTTTTCTCTCACAACAATCCAGCATCAGCCGGGCTTATCAGCCCAGAAACCAACCAGCGAACAGGCTGAATGTGATCCAAGGTATCTAGCCCAGGAATGGAAATTTAGTTCTCACACATTTTTTTTGCTGATTTCAGCAAGACAGGTTGCACTCGGGGAATATCCAGTATCCACGGTTCTATTGTAATGTGCAAGTCCCCGTGTCCTTTTTTATGATATGTAAATGATTTTTTTTTTTTTGGAATAGCTCTATGGCTCATGAGTACAGTGTCAGTTGCCTTTGAATTCCCATTGTCGATGCACCAGATCGATGTCTAATGCATATTATAGAAATATAAAAGCAAGAGGGTGGAAGCGTTTCCTGACTGTGGTCACTGGGTACTTTGGCAACAATCATGGAGCAAGACATGCCAAAGCAGAGCTCTGTTGGAAATTAAGTTATTCTCTCGATATTTAAGACAGCTAATTAATTCAAAACTAATAAACCTGTCATAACTGTGAAAAATGTGCTCTTTGTTTCTAATTATAGGCCTTTTTGTTTTTTCTAGAGATATACTCTCTCTGTTCTAAATTGCAAGTCATAATTTTTGCTATGCATTTAGATATATATTGTAAAAACTATAAACCTAGAGAAGCCAAAGCAACTTACAATTTAGAATGATGGTATGCATAATGTATGGTATGCATAATGTATCTAACATAGTGGATATGTGCTTAGAAAAGCCAAAGATGATCTATAATTCAGGACAGAGAAGTAGGTAATACAATTTACCTATAATTTGGGACAGAGAAGTAGGTAATATAGTTTACTCTTAGGGAGCATGCAACATGTCTCAAAAATTTAGAAGTTGGAAAGAAAGAAATAGTGCATAGTGATATACTGGTGTTGTATTGGATTGCTCAAGGTTCTTAAGGATATTAGAAGATTGCAGATTGGTGAGCAGGTTCCGACACAAAAGAAATGAAAAAGAAAAAAATGAATACTCCCAAAACTTTTACAAGCTGCAGAATGCGACATTCAATTACTTCACTGCACACATTGTTTGTTGTACAACCAACATGGCTGACAGCGTGTAAATGTAGGGGCCAACAGCCCAGGGCTCCAACTTCCCATGCCCGAGTTTCCTGATCGCCCATTTCGGTCCAAATTCACAATTTTAAATTTCAACTTATGAAAATTGACTCCAACCACGTAGGCATGTAGACAACAGATCATAATTGGTCATGATAAAATCAGCCAACACCATAATGATTCCATAAACTTTATGGTCAATAAATTACCCCAACATCCACCAACATTTTATGAATTTAAAACAGATTCAATATTTCAGGATTGCATAGTACCATAACAATTGATCTGTATTTTCCACGTCCATAGCAGCCGGTGAAATTTCGGTTGCAATTTACCTGCCAAACCACGCCTAACTAAATGCATGTCAGCATGAGCATCTCTACAGCAAGTCTATCCACCTTACTAATTGCAAAAAATGGCCGTATTGCCTTTCAATACATATGATACTGCCGCTAGGTAGCTGAGGTCTCTTGAATTTTCTGAGTTCTGACTGCTGAAATAATATATATAATAATAGGCCACCTATCTAAACGAGCCCTATGTTTCCGAATACTGTTCCAGCTACTGCCGTGCTTCCTCTTCCTCTTCATTGTTCTCTGTTTGGGATGCTAGCTTCACAATATCTTCAACAAGGATCTTTCCTTCTGAAGGCGTGCATAAAGAGAACGTTCAGAAAAATACAAGAAAATTGGGCAGATGTAACACTGGAGCAGCATGTAGGTGTCATGGGTAAACGAACCTTTGTCTTTAGAAAGGTTGCTGATGAGCTCTTGCACGCCTTCTTTCCCTATGGTGTCCTTGAGATAGGCTGCTGCGGCCGCCACCTCTTCAGGTGTCACTTTGCCATCATGGTCCCTGAAAATTGTGTGCAAATTGGATCATAATGCTGAGGACTATGTGCAAAATGGTTATGGTGGCATATTACAAATGACTTCTCTGTTTGATAAAGTAGGCCATCCCACATATCTTAGGATAATAGGAAGCAGCAACCATGCTTTTACAGGGACTCCACAAGGAAGATGAGTTTATGAACTAGTGCATTTCATAAAACAATCATCTGAATATGGTTAGGTAGATCACAGAAACACCTGACACAGAACTGTGTTTTGACAGGGCAATAGAGTTACCGCCGATTGTAAATTAACAAAAAATAGCATTAAGTTTCCCTATCAGGGAGAACTCAGTAACAAAATGCACTGGCTGACAAGCACACAACATAAAAAGATCCATACATACAAGTGACTTACTTATCAAGTAGTTGCCAACGATTTCCAATTTGTGCATCCACATCATCAATCTCCTTTTCTAATTCTTGGAGCATAGCATCAACCTGAATGCAGCAAAGGTCATAGTTATATGTGATTCATGTGAACAGCAAACCCATGAATCATAAATATTCAACCAAACAAGGGATATAATAGCATACATATGCCAACAACATAGTGAAGATACAAAAGCATGTGGATGCTTGTTTCCTTTGCAGCACTTTTAAAATGCCAAAAGAGGGGTTCAGTTCAGGCAGGCTTTCTAAGATTACATCATCAGAATGAAAATCAGAGGCCTTTTAGTTACCAAGTCTTGTCAATATAGACCTTAGTTACAATTTGCAAGTAAAAGTTTGCACTCTTATCTCCAACTTTTAGATATTTGTTTATAGTTTTCACTGTCGATATTCAAGGCTATTTAGGCAGCATAGTTCCAAGAGTAGTAGCAATAAAATATGGGAAATATAAACAGATTTTAGGTAGACACTGCTCAACTACGGGGCATGCCCCGAAGGATTCCTTACCTTCTCAATAAGTGCTGATGAGACTTTTTCTTCTGCAGCAGCCTCAGCATGACGGTCTGATTCCTCTCTAGCAGCTATGTATGCTCTCTTAGCTTCTTCTTCACCCTCTGTACCCTCCTTTTCAAGCATTGAGTTGTATAGTTCTATCTGCATGCGGACAAAAGTCCTATTAAATATCCAGTGTACATATTTATATATGCAAATACCATGAAAGATGCCTGCATGAGTATTTGTTTGTCTAATCCACTTCATATTATACCTCCTTGTTGACAAGTCCCAAGAACTCCTGACGCTCCTTGCTTACAGACTGCAAATACAGGTTACAAAAATGATCAAACAGAGAGGATGGAATGAGGAGACACTAGTGTTCCATAGCTACGATGTTGTTACTGTCAACGTGTATAGTTACTAAATGAAAAATACTGATTGTATAGGAGCATACCGATGCAGATGCGAGCACTGCCAATGCTCGGCCGATATTACAGAGTTTTTCCCTGTCGTGTTGTTTTGCCTTTCGCAGTTCTTCTTCCCTAGCAGTAGCATCAGTCATTTCTTTCAAAGCTAAATCTTCAGCAGCACCCTCTGGTTCTTTGAGCTTTGTCTTTTCCTCTTCCTCTTGTTTTGCTTTTTCTTCTTTCTCCTTCCTTTTCTCTTCCTCCTGAATATATTTTTGCATTAAAAAATCAATAATAGATTTGCAGCATTACGTTAACAAAATAAAATGGTTGGGTTAAATATAAAAAAATACATGTTCCGACAAACATAGGATAATTATCAAGTAAAATGTGTATGCAGATTTGTGAAAGAGAACAAATCTGCCATAATTACAGTGCGAGTCTTTAAGTACTCCAGATAAGATGACAGCATTGGGATTAGAAGCTACACAAATTGGAAGCATGCCTCGAGTTACAAACTTACAATACAGGCAGGGATATCAATTATGAAATCTAATTTGTAATAACATTTTCATTTCAGATTCTCTTAATCGAACATCTTCTCCCTAACCATGAAACTGCATAAACCACGTAATGAGAAACTTTAATGGATAGGGACTAGATAGATTCCTTTGAATATGAAGGGATTCTAGTTCAATTCCCTACCGATTCCATGAGATTAAACCTAATCTCTATAATCGAAACAAAGGCTAAGTAATTGTGCTCATCTGAACATCTAACACGTGACAAAGATATGAACAGGATCTCCTATGAAGTTTACACATAGGATCCAACTAAGGATTCAATCATGATGTATAACTAGGGAGCAGAAACATATGGAATAACAATGCACGAAAGTAGGAATTTCAAAATCTGAAACAGCGCATTGGGTTAGATAAAATTAAATATGTGGCTGAACTCTAGCTTTTTCGACTAATCATAAAACATAGGTTACAAACTACAAGCCAGCAGGTACACATTCAGTGGAGGGAAGTTCTCTATCAGCTTATCATTACAGTGGTTTTATGTCCCCAAAGATTATGGCTGCATTGGCACAATGGGAGGTTAAAAAAAAACACATCGTTTAACTATTACAATCTATATGCTCTCTCTAGAGAAATAAAAAGATGCATATGTACACGTCACCTTGATAAGTTCTTCTTGCATCTCAAGGAATTCAAGTTTTCTCCTCCTCTCAGAAACTGAATCTTCAGATGGCAGTACTGTCCCAACTGTATCCACAACTTCATCCGGTAGTGAAGATAGTGTTGCTACAACAGCTTCCTCAGGCTTCACTTTCCCAGATACAGTAAAAGCTCTGACAGAATTACCAAACATAAGAATGCAAGCATAAAAATAGCATGACAACTGGGAAAATGTTTACTAAATTTACCTTGAAAGTATGAGAAGTGAAGATGGCACTGCATAGTTTAGTGAGAGATCCAACCAGTCCCGGAGCTGGCAAAAAAGATGAATGTTACTAGC